AAAAGGATCAGGTGTAGCCCGGGGTGGGAGCCGGGAGGGCAGATGGCGGGCATAGGCTCCTGTCCCGGGGAGGTGGCGACATCTCTGTGCAGCCTGGTGGGCCCGTGGCCAGCTAGCTGGGTCAGTGGCGAGCACCCCATTTCTGCCTCCTACTCCTCTCCTGGCCTCAGTGTTACCATTCACGGAGTGAGACTTCTGGCTTCCGTGCAGGCCCAGTCTGGCAGGCCAGGTGGGACCCCGTCCCTGAAGCTGCCGCCACCAGGGAGGGTGAGGGTGGGTGGTGGTTCTGACTATATTGGTGGCTGGGGCCGGGGGTTTCCTCTGCCCCTGGGAGAAATGTGTTGGGGTGGGGGCGGGGGAAGGACGTGCTTCTGAACACGCCCACTCCCAACTCCCCCACAGTCACATGACGGTCCCAGCCTGAGGATCACACACACTCTCACCGTTTGTGTTCAGGGCTGCAAGGGACACCTCTGGCCACCAGTGGGTATACTGAGGCCCAGAGAGAAGATAGACTCAAGCAAGTCTCAGGGCTTCAAATCAGAGATAGAAGCTCTGGGTATAGGACCCCTTACCCAGCAATCTTTTAAAACCACCTGCGTGCCCCATGGGCATCGTCACACAGGACAATGACTTCGTCTGTGGCCCTGGAGACGGCTGCCACACCGGTGTGCATGAGGAAGAGGAAGCAAGCCCACACTCACCACAGTGCCCATCAGCCGCACACACAGGCTCACACACCCTCCCTATCACTGGCACACGCCCACCTTCTCTGAGCCCCCTCACTGAGGGGAGGAAGAGCACACAATGGCCAGGGACCTCTGGACTCACAGGGCCCTCTTGGAATCCCCAAGGGGTGGAGAAGCATTGGGGGGGTCACCCCACTGGCAGTCAGGTCTGAGGCTGGCAAAGTCATGAGAGGGATGGAGGTGTGACTGCAGGAAGGACTTGGCCTGGAATAGGAAAGGCACTTGCTATTTGCCACAAGAACGAACAAGTCCAGAAATGGACAGACAGCAAGAGGTATGGAAGTTAGACTACAGGAAGGACCAGTCTGGTCCATATGAAGAGGGGAGAGGTGAGACTGCAAAAAAAAAAAAGGACTGGTCTAATCTGTCTAGCAAAGGGCACAGATTAGACTGCAAGAAGGACTGGCTTGGGGATCCCAGAAAGAAGGCAGGGGAGAGGACAGGGGCTCTGGCAGCTGAGGAAGGGAGGGGAGTTTGGGAGACTCCAGGTCTTCTGGGGGAACCCACAGTGTGAGGAGCTCTTCCTCCAAGTCTCCCTCCACCCCCCGGGTGGAGATCAATGTGTGGAGAAGTATTCACAGGTTCTCAGGGAAAGCAAGAACAGAGGAAAGACAGGGACCGATACCCAGAGACAGAGGTGGGGAGACCAGAGATGGGAAGAGACAGAGATACAGGGGGACACACGCAGAGGTAGTGGGGGGCGGTAGCTGAGAGAGACCAAGAGGACAGAGACGAGAGACATGGAGAGACAGAGATGAGACGAGAGACATGGAGACATGCAAGCTGATGGCAAAAGCACTCCGACTCGCAAGAGACCCCCCGAGATGTGGGGACAGAGAGATGAGACTAGACACAGGAAGGGGGGGCGGAGGTGGAGAACGTAGGGGGGCTGCCCCCCACGGGGGTGGGGGTGGGGTGCTCTCACCCCCTCAGCGCCCGGGAGGCACCCCTTCCCTAGCCCCCAGCCCCTCCTGCAGCGCAGGAAGGGCTGAGGATGTTGGGGGCTGCGCGTGGCGTCCGCCCCCTACTGAGGGGTCCGGGTACCCGCGCCCCGGCATAAACAGCCCCTCAAAGGGGATCAGGGAAAAGAGGCTCCCGGATCCTCAAAGCAACCCACCCGGCCGCCTGCGGTAACGCCGCCCTTCTCCCACGGACCCCTAGAAACTGAGGGTCTCTTACCTGCGGCGATGGCCTGGAGCAGGTCCCCCCAGAACTGGGCAGGCAGCGGTGGGCGACTCCGCCCAAGAAAGAGAGAGACACAGAGAGAGAAGCTGGAGACTGTGAGGGAGAGCCGGGGAGGGAG